GAAGGCGTAAGTAATTTACGGCCAGGCCTAGCAAGTGATCCGGTCGTTACATGAGCTATGTGAAATGCTTCTACTACTTCCTCTGCTTCTTTCTTGTCTTTGCTGGCAAGGCAAACTTTAGTGCGCGAATTGAGTGTATTTCTTTCCAGGGAGTCTCCGAAGAGCAGTTTCTGCAGGTGTGGGCCGTGGGGAGAGCTGGGGCAGGACAGGTGTGTGCGAAGGGGATGCTGCCTACTGCTCGCGAGCGTTGTAGCTTCCCGAGACGGTGACTGTTCCTCCTTCCTAGTCACAGTAGCAAACAGCATCACCTTAATTAACTGCAAACTCCTGTCTGGATGCTCTTACTAGGCTTAAAAAGGGGCTTATTTCTCTCTTGAATTAATCTGGTTTCTAAGTGACTTAAGCTAAACCATAATAAGCTTAGAAGAAACATTTCTAGTTCAGTTGCCTGTCTGAATTGTATCAAAGCTCTCATTTTAGAGTCCCAGGTGGGAAAGGTGTGATTGGAGAGGCTGGTCAGAGGTCCTAGCAAGTGGTGTTTGCTTCCAGCTCTGAGGAACTAGCTCTGAAGTCTCTAACGTGCCCTGCAATGAAAATGAGGATAGACTTAGTTATAGGGAGCACTCTCCAGACGCTGCGTCCATGCTACAGAGAAAGGACAACATGCAGAGACAGGGGCTGCCCTCACGGAGGGAAAGGCTGGTGCATGGGGTAGCTACAGCTGCTGATGTGGTCCATGTTCATGTGGCAGTAGCAATACACTATATCTGGTGATGAAGGCAGAAAGATATAAAGCATGCGTTTAAGAGAAGAAAGAGTGATTCCACAGTGGACTGTAGTGCCTTTTTCTACCTGCTAGGGTACAGATGGTTTTTCAGGGAAGGAGTTGGGCTTAGCTCATGGTAATGAGTTAACTCTGATATTGCGGGTTTCAGAAATGCCAGGAGCACAGGCAAGCGGCATGAATTCTGTGCCTAGCTCTCTTCAGCTGCTGCTGAAACTACTCAAATTGCTTTCCCGAGTAAAGACTCCATATTTTCCAGTGTTATGCTGCGTGCTGTCTTTGCTGTGGCTACTGGACACAAACACTTAAGCACTCCTAGCGACATGCAGAAAACTAGCCCTGTGGTATTACCTGCAGCTGCCCGCTCCGCGCTCACGATTATGCAAAGCTCTTGCTGAGCTGCTGGATGCTTCTTTAGCATCTGCTCTATCCAGGTTTTTGGCTCAGTATCACTTCTGTTCAAAGCAGGCTCTTGTGTAAGGCAGGCTGCTTTAACTCACCCCTGCCAGCTGTCACCGGTGGAGAATCTCTGCGTTTACCTATCTCTGTGATTTTCTGCGTCTAGCGCTATTTCTCAAATCACGGAAGTGGTGGGACTGGAAGCAGTCTCCGGAGTTGGTCCTTTCATCATGTGCCGCCTTGTTCCCGCACAGAGGGTGCTTAGGTTTGAGCAACAAGGGGTGGGGTGGGGGGAACCACTGATACTTGTGTCTTCCTCGAGCTGCTTGGAGCTTCGGGACCGTCTTCCCTGCCCACCCCTGGCTGGGTGCTGTTGCTTGTGCGATTTCTCTGCTGCAGTTACAAAGGGAGTGGGAAGGGAGGAAATGGAGAGCTGCACTCCCCCTTCTCTCCTCTCAGCTGGCAGCACTCCTCTTTCTCCTCCTTCGCTCCAGCACTTTGCTGAAGAGATCATGAGGGGACTGTGTCATAGGAGGCGGTTATGTATGGGACTCTCTGCCTGAGCACCCTTTCAGGAGGAAGGGGAACGAGGGAATCGGCTACCACCTTTCATTACAACCTCCATGTTGGGGTGACGTCTCTTAAAGATAAGTCTCAACGCCTCGGAAAGATCAAAGATCTCATTTTCTGAAAGTTAGCTAGTGACATGATATTTGATGGCATCAAGGTCTCTTCTTTGGTGTCGGTATTACGAAACAGTAAAATGCTGCTGTCCATCAGCAACATACAAGCTACCCCAGTATGCCCTCCTGACTTGACAACAACTATGCCTCAGCTTCTACGCTTCCTGAATATAAAACGTTAAGCGTGGTTGCACTACAAGGGGCACCCCAAGCAAAGGCTGAGCACTTCCATTGTGTGGAGTGCAGAGATATGTTTCTGCCCCTCAGAGGTGGTACCATCTTGGAAATGCAAACAAGAGCTGTATGAAGGCTCGAGTGCGAGGCCTGTGCTCGTGATGAGTAACGCTGCGCCATGTGCATAGCTGTGCCGCAGCGATCGGTCTGCGGCAGGCAGGTTCTACTCCAACTAAATCTCTCCCTGAATGCTTAATGCGAAGCTCAAGGCCTATTTCTTATTTAAATTCCTTGTCTTCCTAATTTGAAAGACATTAAGTTTTGCCCTTTGCTTTTAAGTGGATGGATGTTCATCATTTACTTGTACGGTCTCTTTTTGTGCCACCCTATCTGTTAGGTGCAGGAAGAATTTGCATTAGTATTGAGGTAGATCAAAAGATTTTTCTTTGCACATATGCTGCAAATAATGTTTTTTTCCGGGGGGAAAAATACAGTCCTTTCCAAATGGTTTCTGAGATGATCATGATCAGTGTCACTTTTTTTTTTTTAAACTACTCCCCCCCCCACCCATGCAGCAGCATATAAATGATACATGGCCAGCTAACGGAAGTTTAGCATGAGTAGAGGTGTTTTAATGTTTTGTAAGAGTTCGTGTTGTTTTTTTTTTTTAAATGTAAAGAAAAAGCACGCACCCACACAGCTCATCTTAATTTATGGGAGTTCTAAAAGGTAGTAGGATGACAGATAGAGAGGAAGGTGATCAATTAAGACATTAAGCATTTTGCACCACATGGACGCATCTGCATGTCAGCCAAATAATAAGGCCATCAGCTCATTTTCAGGGGGCTGTTGCCTACTTCAACTCAATCCTCAGATCAAAGAGAAAATGTCTGCTTGCATTTTCTAATCAGAAAAGGGATGCTAATTTAGGTTCCTTAATGTGTGGTGGTAAGAGACTTCTTCAATTAACTGAATTCTATAGCTCTGAAAATAAAAAAGGGGGATACAAAGGGAGTCAGGCTGGAAAGGCAGAAGTTCTCATTAAATCAAAGGTCCAATATTCATTACCTCCAGCATCTGGGGCTAAACACTAAACATGGAGATCATCAAAGGGGATTTAATGGGTTAAATTGAGAATATAATCTAATTAAAATATTAGATACGAGTAAATAGCTCTTTGATATTCATCTGAAGGTTTCATTAAAATAGGTACTTGAGGTTTGTATTAAGGGGGGATTATCACTTTTAAGCAGAGACGACAAGTTGAGGTTCCCTAATCAGAAATGCTTCAAAGTGTTACCATTTGGTTTGAAAATGAAACTAGAAGAGCAGTAACTGGCAGGAACGTTTACCCGGCCTTTCTTGATGGCTCATACTACAAGCATGCATATTTTACAATGAGGGGCTAAACGCTGAAGTGTACAGATCCCAAAAGGGAGGAGAAAGGAGGCAGAGGACAGTCCTGTTCCAGAAGTGGCACAGCTGCTGTCCACTGCTGTACTTTGATATGCAAAACGTTCCCCCTGCAATCTCACTGACCTTCTCTGCACTCAGAGACTTCTTCTGCAGGTTTCCCCCAAAGATATACGTTATCTGCCAAGTCTGACAGTCTAATTAAGTAAAGCATCCCAGCTTGTGTGGTCGGAAGCAACCAACAGGGTGAAGAGCTTCCTGTTCCTCAGGTGGGTCAGGAGGACCTTAAAAGAAGGAACATGTCCTTTTTCCATGATGGAGAGGTGCAGATCATTAATATCAACACAAGTCCTTTGGACTATGAGTTTTTGGTCCAGGAAACACTCTCTTGTGTTGCTTTGCTAGTGGTTATATTGGATTCCATAAAACATTTACTCACTGAAAGGACGTAAAGGACACTTGGGCCTGGTGGTCAGCTTTTCCTGCACTGGGATGAGAGCCTGACCTGAGATCTTGCAGGGTATATTTCAGGAACTACCCAGTTTCAGCCGGATTGAGGAATACTGAGGAATGTATCATGCAGGTCAAACTCAACCAGAACTCTCTATAAATTGCAAGATAGAGGACCTTTCCAGCAATATACGTCATACCTTTAGCGATGCGACTTTAGCGTGCAATGATTGGAAAATTATCTTTCCAGGAACTTGTGACACATCCAGCCAATGAAAGGTTAACCCAGAAACGTGTTATATCTTGCTCATTTCTACCTTTAACAAAAAGTCTCAAGCATCCGGAAAAAGACAAAAGCCATTTCAAAGATGTTCTGTCCTCGATTCCCCACCTTACCTTTCCATTGTTAGCCTCCTTCGAGGAGACTCAAACCTTTCTTTGCTCAAAGAATAATTCTCTCTGTCCCCCCATACAAAGGGGGAGCTACTAAATTGGATAAAGCAATTACACATAATCACTAATTTTTTTCTTTTAACTAGCCTATTTGAGATGGCCTACTTTCTAAGAGATTTTAGTGGGGTTGTCTTCAAAATTCCCTTGCTGTGTTTTCTAATCGCGTTTCATATGCTGACTTAATTCATAATTTATGAAGTTAAACAGAACCATCATAAGAAACCTATCTGTTTGCTGTTATTTTTATAGATTTAATCTGTTAAAAGCGGTTTCCTCTCAAACATGTAGCTCTCAATTACCCTCAGTTACTCTATATATTTTTCAATAGCTTCTGGCTAATAACAGATTGTCTGTATGAACAGCCAGTATTTGGGGGGGGGACATTTGGGGGACATTTCCCTGTCCCAGATTAAGCTCCAAAACTTTGGCCTTGCTGTGACAATAATTCACTAACAGATAACAGAGCAACAGTTGAATAATTAGCTTTGTATGATTACCAACTGATATGTCTGGTGCATGTTTTTAGCCTTTTTTTTTTTTTTAAACCAGCAACGGATTATTTTTGGCTAGGTTTCTGGGTCTCCTCCAAAGACTCCAAAGTCTCCTCTCTGATTTAAAGAGAAATAAGGCTGGTACTAAGATCATCAAATGAGACTGAAGTTTATTTTTAATGATTCATAGGTATGCTGGCCTGTATGTTTGGCAGGTTTAAAAATGATCCAGCTGTGACAAGCCAATAACTCATTAATCTGAATGATTACTGCTAGAGTAGATTTCAAGGAAAAAAACAAACAGAGATGATCATATTTAAAATGCTACTCATGCAGTTTTTAACATTTAAAAAAATAGATATACTAGAACTGATCCTAAAACTTAAAAATGATTAAAACATAGACCAACTTGTATTTGTGGGGGATGGTAGATTAACATGTGATAGTAATAGCTCATAATTAAACAGTTCAGATAATTTCTGCCTTGAAGATATCCTTAATCATTTTAAATTGCTTATAAGATATGAAGGTTTCTGAAAGCAGCTACAACTTGCTTCTCCTTCTCATGCCTGTTTTGCAAAGTTTCCAAGGATGCAATTTGAGGTAAATGGTCTCTTCTCAAAATCTGTGACAGAACTCTTTCATCTTTCACCTCTTCGTCTGGTTGTCTTGTTGGAAAAGTTTTTGGTCTAGGAATCTTCTTAGCGTATTCCAGAGCCTAAAAATATGAAGACTGAGGTAACTGCGAAACTCAAAAGAAAAAGCTGATCAGCAGTTCTAAAATGGAGGAAAATTTTAGGTGTTTCTACATTGAGTCAAATCCTGATCTTGTTTATTACAGTGTTCATTATTATATGCTTCCGCAGCAACTGCACCAGACTTCTGCAGCGTGCAACACAACCCACCTCAAGGAGATCTGCATCCTGATGCTCCCCACCAGAGGCTGTCTTAAACAATGAAGCATTAGATGTTAACAGCTTTTTTTTTTTCTTTAAAAAAAGAAAATGCATCACTAGTCTAATATGTTTAGAAACATGAAGTTTTCCAATTTCATTAAACTCTTGTCCTCAGCCATATCTTGTCACAGGGAGTTCTGCAAGTTAATATGACAAGGTCTGGAAAATGAGCGCTCATATAACAAATTCTAAGGAAGTGACGTATCAAAAGGCCTAAAATAATAAGGCAAGTTTTGAAATGAAGTCCAGGTAGTTGTTTTAAATTCTCTTGAACCTGCTTTAATACAATCCCTTGCCAAATTCTTTTTAGTTAATTTCAAAGATAACACATTTCTGAACAAGAGATGCTTTCTGAACAAGTGAGGATGGCATTAAATGTGCCAACCCTTAACAGATAACTGGTTCAGAGGAAAACAAAGAGTTGTCTCTCACAGAATACCTCAGTTCTCTTATAACCATGCCCACTTCATTGTGATTGGGAACTTCTTTACCAGTGACACCCAGTCTGTCCAGGAGCCAAACATACCATAATGAGAACATGAAGAGCAGTGTGAAATAAACTACGATTTTACTTTTCTACTGCGGGCATTCTGAACGTGTATATGCTGAACAAACATACGGAGTGAAAGGAGGGCAGCAATGGAATACAGACAGGAACAGCACATCTTGAAGAACTGCGCTTCCCACGCTGGCAGACCATTTTCCTTTTTCATGTGCTTGTCCCTGTATGTATTCCTGTAGCATCAAGTAGGTGAACTCTCACATGTGTATGTGAGAAGGAGGCAGAGACTATATTGTGCAAACAAGAAGTCTGCAAGCTCCGTTTCAACAGGCTTAGCCTCTACTGCCTGATAGTCTTAACTGTCAAAAACAAAAAAGAAAAATGGGACTACTCACGTGATTGTCCTAGATCTAACCTCTGTCTCAGTGAAGCTGATCAGAGCTGTGCAGAAAGAGGCACGCAAAGCAGATACCTGGGGGATTGCTAAATAGTGTGGAAAGATGTGTGAAACATGGAAGGTTGCCTCGCAGCACAGAGAACGGGAATAGTCTTACAGAAATCCTGAAACTGAGAACACCCTGGTTTAAACTGGGACATCGCTTCGTATCTGTGTTTCAGCCAGACATATTTAGAGACACCTGTAAAGTCTCAAGTGGAAGTTCCATTACCTCATGTTCTCGGTGAAAGAGACAGTCAGGCAAATCTTCTGAAGGGGCCAGTCCTGAACAAATCAAAATCCAGGGCCCTTCCGACATCTAAAGAACGTAGTTTCACTTCTCTGTGGTTTATGTGAGGTTTGAAAATAAATGCAAGTAACTGAATAATTAAACCGATGTTAAACTTCAAAACTGTTCTTTGCTGAGGTAAGCAGTCCTCATGTATTACCACGGAGGAATACCTGTTAGTGGGCCTTCAGCACCCAGTAGGTGAGCTCCTCAAGAACTGATCTGATGGAATATATGCCACTGACTTCCTGAAAAAGGGAAAACAGTGTTCCCTTTGTTTATGTACGGCATTGTCATGTCATCAGACACTCCTCATTTGAGCTGTTTCTGAAGGGCAGTGAACGCTAAGGCAACATTGTACACGCTTTAAAAACAAGACCAGTTATTGTGCAACTCAAGTGACAGGATTTTATAAGCGAGACTGACAGGCAGGTAGATAATAGACTAACAAGAAGATATCTCTGCTCTTGCAGGTAGTGTGGCCTCTGCTGCTGACGGGAGGCAGAGCATGTGCTCTTCTGGGTAGTGCTCCTGCGGAGGCCATGCTCCCCTTTGTTCCACACCCCTCTTCCTCCTGGAAAACGTCACCTAGCTGGTTAAGCCAAGTTGAGTGGAGACAGCATGGATGGAGAACTGCATGGACTGAACACTGCTGCTGGCAAAGAAATATGCAGTTCTTGATATACATCTATAGCCCTAACAGAATAGAGGCAGAGATGAGCGCTTGCCAAGATCCTATGGAAGCAGAAGTCCCTAGTGTGATTTTTCTTTAAACAAAACTGGAGAAACGATGCTAGCATACTAAGAGTTAAATTTCCTTGGTGGGTGGTTTTTTTTTTTTTTTTTTTTTTGGTGCAAAGTCCAGGATCACTCCCTGCATGCATTTTAAAGGGGCTCTCTTCTTACCTTCTGTCTTGACACTGAGGATGTAACCTTGGGTTTTGTAGGCAACCTCTGAACAGAAGCAATGTTCTTCATGTTATGTTCCTTAATTTGCTTTGCATATTCCTTTTGCTGCTTTAACTTCTCTTTCTGACAAAAGGAAAAAAAAGTATAGTTAATTAAACATCTCAGTCGATCCATCAATGAAACACTTTTTCCACTGGAGTCTTCCATTTACATCCCTGTTGCTGTTTAACCTGGCTATGCTATTGATCATTCCTCAGCAGAACACATCAGGAAATTCTGATAAATAGCACAATGTTTTTTAGAGTCACTCTTCATTTGTAAGAGCTCTTTCTTGGATTGTATCTAGGATAGAGGTTGATGGAAATGCAACAGATGGCACCTTTATTCTCAGGTGATTGTTTTAGTATATCAGTTCCATTCTAGTATGGTTGTGCTAATTTCTCTCCGCTTTTGCAATGACTTTTAAAATCCCTGTACTTAGGCCGTGAATGCCCTGCTTTGTTTATTTAACTGATATCCTGTTTCTTTATATTTCCAACAATTCATTATGCTCAAATTCAGCAGCGTGCTCTGCCCCTCCTCAGTTATCAGCTGATGTCAATTATTTTCTTTTCAAGGCAGTAGTACTCCACTGATGTGACAGGTTACACAAGCGTTACGGAAGCGTTAAAGATGCACAGAACGCTGCACTCTGCGTTCTATCCGTTCCAGTTTGAGATGTCTAATCTATTTCACTTACTGCAGGGCTGAAGAAATCACAGGAGCTTCTCAATTACTCCAACAGGATGATCATTTAATCATTTTTGCTTCCTGCTGTCCTACAACATTTATATAAACAATGCCACCTAAAGCACCTGTTGTCAGATTAATAGGGTCTCAAAGCATGCAGGCTATGATTCGCAACACCTTAGACAAACAACTGCTTCCATAACCGCATTTCTAGCAGAGAACAGGTCAAACGATGCTAATTGTTCAGATACTGGTTCTGAACAATGTTTTCTTCTCCACAGGGACCTGACACTTGCTTAACAGTATGTAAAGTTCATTCAGCTATTTACCTCTTGCATTTACACTAGTTTTTATATTTTTTCATTTCCACTTTGAAGGTTAGGCTATGCCAACTTCTGCACCAGGAAAGATAATGCAACTCAGTCATGTGACTGTATGCCTGATTTCATGATCTGCAATTAATTCTGCTGAACTCAGTGAACTAATCCCTGTTTCTGGGACTACAAAATTAGAGGGCTGAAACTATTCCACAGTACGGTTGTCTTTCCTTCTGTTTGAATCTCCCTTTTGGAACTTGAGCTAGACTGTGAGTCAAGGACATAATGCACCGGACAAATACAAGTTACTGTCTCAGCAGTGATTTCATTGCCTTTCTCCCCTACCTAACATACTTGGCACAACTGAAGAGAACACCATATGATGGAGACCACCTACTTTCTCTTTGATTGCTTCATAGTCAGGTCCAAGGCCTCCAAGTCTCACATTCAGATTCATGTAGGCTTTTGAACTATATGGCTGAAAAACGAACAGCAGTGACAGATTTTCCTCTATTTGATTTCATAGAGAGTATAGTTAAAACAAGTCTTGTAATGGACAACGCAACATAAGAGCAGGATTCAAGTTCCAGTTTCAACCTTAGCTCTGGCATTGTTTCATTTCATAGACTGTAAGTGACCAAAAAGACTGAATTAATGGCAAAAATGAAATTACACCATCTTTCCTTTGAAACTAGGTGGGTAATTGCCAATTATCCAAATTACAAAGCCATACTTTCTCCGTCAAAAATGACCTTCCTTGAGCTTAACAGCTTAAAGTGACCCATTTGGCCTCTATCAGAATGAAATTCCAAAGAAACTCTTTTAAGAGAAGCAGAAAAAAACACCTAATTTTTGGCAATTAAAAAACAATTCAGGCAAATGCTATTGTAACAGTTATCTTTCTTCATTCTCAAAACTGCAATGTAATTGAAAGCAATTGCTCACAGAAAGTTGAAAAATACCTGCCTTGCAGCACAGCAAAAGCTTTACAATTGCATAGGCAAAAAGGAAGATGAGTGATGGGTGATGTCACTGGAATCCTTTGTGACATTACTAAAAACAAAACACTATACTTTCCTGAATCCATGTAAATCTCTTTCAAGAAGATTAATTTAATTTTTAAAACTGAACTACGTTTTAAAAACTTGTCAGTGGAAGCTCTTTATGAGCAGCATTGTGTTAATCTCGATCATGAAGGAAGGCAGAAACACCAAGAAAATATCTACGTGCAAATAAAAAGTGCAGTTTTTTTTCAAACAAAAGACACGTTCGAGTTAAACTCAACTGCAAAGAAACTAAATCTATGCACTGAAATTTCTATTTGATGTTTCATCGTGTCAGCTATCTCTACTACTTTGTGATGTATTTACGCATCTTTTTTATTTGGAGGTCCTGAGGAGAGTTAATTATTTCACTGTATACAACCAGATCTGACTTTTCGCACTCCTAGTATATTTTGAAAGCTAAAACGTACATACGATGAGTATGACTTCGGTGCATTTGTTTATTGTGAAAAGCTGGATCATTCTGTGAGACAAACACTCCTATTCTCTGTAGCATTCCTCAGATATGAAGAGTGAGAAAGCTACTGAAAATGCAGAACAGAAACAATGGTTTAAACTCAGGGAAACAGAAAGGGAAGGAAATCTGCCCTGCAGTTACTATCATAATCCAGGTAATTCTTCTTAGTCATTCAAGCAGCAATACACAAACTGCCTCTTAGATGAAGCACATGAGTAATTATTCCAGCTTAGCTTGTCTGCCCTGAGACATGGAGCTAACTTCTTAAACTTTTAATTTGTCATGGATACACAGGGATAGCTCTATGCTGCTCCACTGCATCCGTGTTAAATGGTTACAGTACGAAATCTGGACACACAGAAAAGACAAAAAGAATCCCGTTTTAATAAGGACCACAACGGGATTCTAGCAGACCTGTAATAAAGTTTATGCCGTTAGCTTTATAAATCCTCTAAGTTTGGTGGTGTTCAGTTTGATTCCCTTGGAAACCAAGAGATTTGAGTTGGCTAGCAAATGAGCATGACCAGGATAATGGTTTGCTCGGGTCTGAGGCCTGGCTACCTGCTGCTTTATACAAATAGCTTTATTCTAAATCATTTTATCACTGGAATAACTTAAAGGACAAACACTGCTCTGTGTGTTCTTAGAGCTAATCAAGTCTGAAAGTGACGAAGGGAGAGGCGACGGTGAATTGCTCCGTTCTCCAAATTAGAATGATTTGGTCAGAAGAACTACTAGTAAATACTTTCTACCACAGTTTGTTGGTTTTCAGTGCTCCAGGCAAGTCACTGTGTGTCACTTTGCGCTCCGTAAGAATGAAATAGTTCCCAGTCCCCATTCCTTTCTGTGTGAAGGTCTTTGGGTTATTACGAAAAAACATTAAACAGAGGAGGAGGCACATGTAAAACTATCTTCCAATACGTGCCTATTTTCTTACCTTCTTGTTGGCTGTAAGCTGTTTTTGCTTTTCCATTTGCATTAGATAGCCTTCTGAGTTGCTTCGGCTTATTTTCACTTGATTTCCTTCACCTCTCTCTGTATTGAGATCTGAATCACTTTCCACCTGTGGGATTATAGGTGGAAGTAGGCTGAACAAGTGCCTGTCAGCTAAGTGAGCTTCTGTCAAACGAGTGGCTTCTTCGTGGTGTTGCTCCACGGCTTGCATAAGTTGGGAAGCCGGGCAAGGGACTGCTGGAGAACTGCGAGTAGAAGAGTGGGAAGGCCTCAAAAAAGAAAGAAGATATAATACAGATTTTTCATTTGTTAATAAGTGATAGCTCAACAAGCACTCTGTACGTAGAACGATCCTTGCTCATAGAATATATTGGGAACGTGAGGGTGGAAACACGGAAATTTCACAATGACTTACTTTGCTTGCACCTAAGGGCATGCAGACTGTTTAAATTAAATGGAAAAATTATAGATGGGGAAGTGTTCAGCCTGATGCAAAGCTAGCTTAAGCCAATGCAAACTGCCTTTAAAGGGCTTTGGATCAGACCTGCTAAGTAGGTATACCACAGAAAAACTTTGTATTTTGGACTTACTTTTTCGTCTGTAATTTATCCGGGCATCATAGTGCCAGGATAATATTGCTTCAACACCAGTATCCTTACCATAAACTACTGATAGCATAGTTGTGATAGCTTTTATCCGTGTAAACGTGTCTTTTGCAATGCTGAAGTGACACTAGATCCTTTACCAACTCTTGAAAATTAGCATTGTAAACAGATGAAACGTTCCTCTGATTTGGATGTGCTTGATCATTGGTACAGTCGTCTCTTGGAAAAAATGGTAAAATGGCATGATTGTATAAATGTTGCTGATCATGTGGAAGTCCATTTGGAGGACCGTGATGATATTTCTCCTCACTGGTATAGGCTGGAGACAGGAACTCTACTGGGCAAAATTTATGCGATGTTGGATGAAGAGGATAGGCAGATGTGACAAAATCCTGATTAAGAAAATGTCTTGACTTTGGGAAATTATTTAGGAGAGTAGTATCTGGGCAAACAGAAGGATACGGACACAGCCATTTCTGCAGTGCACTACTGTTGTCTTGCTCTGCTGCCTGTGTGGCAGCAGTCTGGAATTCTGGTGCTTGGTGGTGTCTGTGTTGCCAAGACTTTGATTCTGCTGGTCCTCCTGGTGGCTGTTGACTATCATTGCTTGGGAAAGCTCTCCCTTTAAGATTTTGTTTGGATTTTATTTTATTTCTCTGGGGCTGCTTATTTTGGTGATCCTAAAACAAGTTATCAAAAGTACGGTGAATTTCAGTGGTTGGTATTGTGTATGTTCATTAAAATCAACAATTTACAAGTGCATGGGTAATTTCTCCCTATTATAACACCTCTCACTTAGCTATTTCTCAGCATTCTGCAAACCTTGTGCCTGATTAACCAAAGTTTTGACTAGGTTACATCCAGAAGAGGTTTTCCAACCTAAGCTATTCTGTGATTCTAATTCAGGACAACATTCCTATTGTAGACAGCCCTTAAAGAGTTGTGTTAGTTACAGTGAAGCTGAGTTCTGAACACGTAGTAAACTTTGAACGTGTATTGATGTGGTGCCTTGAACAGGCGTGAACAGGTTGGGGTGTACAATCTCCAGTCCCTGTAAAAATCAGGGACGTCTGGAGCCAGCCAGACCTGTTTGATCTATGCTCCCAGCTAGTAAGGGGTTATGGTGACATTTTATATGGCTGAATGAGCTTCGGGATGGAAACTTGTTTTAAAAGCAAGCTCTTAGCAGAGAGTGAAGTGTAAAGGGAAAAGCATCTGTGCCCTAAGGTCTAGCATAGTACAGAGAACAGTCTTTCTTTTGTGCCATTTGTAAAGTTTTAGGTTTTGAATTAGTAAAACATGCCCTGATAGAAGGACCTGAAAGAGACTTAGGTAGAGTATTGGTCCTCATGACTAAAATAACAGTTTCTTAGCGCACTGATCATGAGTTAGGCCAATTTGCACAAGGCTAAACAGATCCATCAAAATCACTCCAGGCAGCTCGTATCTAACTCGGACTTAGTAAATTATGCTCATGGCTAGACTAGATGATGGCCCGGCCTAGAGTTAATCCAAAGTTAAAAACCATATACACCCCTAGCCAAGAACAGAACCACGGCTACTCTTCAGGTGCTGCACAAGTGGATAGTGCTGCACAGGCAATGCGTAATACTGCATCAAAACTTCTTAGTAGCCTGAGATAAATTCTGAAGTGGAACACTATAAAAATGGCCTCTTACAGATGCAGACCATATCTGAGAAATGATGTCCTCGTAATATGAAATACGTGAGTTTTATCTGAGTGAAGCGCAAAAAATAGGTGAGCTAGTGCATCACTCCTAAATGCTCAGGACTACTTGTTTCTAATCCTTCAGGCAAGCGGTAGCTCCACTGTCATCCACTTGGGGAAAATGTTTCAATAATCAAATCAGTTTTGTTTTTTTAGATACTAATGAAAATAAATTGTACTAAATTTCATAAAGAGATGGTTAGGTACGCTCTGTTAGACTGGTCCACAGAAGAAGTACATTGATGCCAATGATTAAACGATTTCATTTCTAAACTAAGTACTCCTCCCTGCACGCCCTGCAAAACATTATCCAAATGATAAGAAACAACTTAAGAATTTAAGCACAACAGGACTACTTTCTCCAGCTAAACTGACATACTCTAAATCCGGGGTTTATTTAAGAATCACCACTCTCTAATTAAAACATCAGGCATTGCCCCTTTTGAGGAAAGACATGGCTTTTCTTCTAGGTAATATACAAATCCATTCGCAGTTCATTTAGTCTTTGTCAGCACTGAAATCCTCCATTTCATTCTCCTGTCTCTCTAGGGTTCTTTTGTTAGCAACACTTGCAATCACTACATAGCATAGGCACTCAGAATAACTGCTTAATGGTAGGTACTAAATCCACACATAGAGAAGAATGTTTTGGTGAAAGCTTTAGCACTGGGGAATCCTGACTCCTGGTGCCAAGATGATGATTTGTTAGCTCGACCTCTGCAGTAACAATTAGTGTTCTGGCATACTGTGCCACTGGTGGAAAGTATGAACTGCTGCCAAACTGAGGCCGGGCCAACGTTTTCCCATTTAGATGGAATGAGCAGCCCTGTAAAATACCTCCTTCATTCTGAAATTTCATATATAAAGCATCTCTCTCGCAATGAATAGCAGCATAAAATCTTGTTTGCCCTTTTAAGAAGCGCAGCTTCCAGTCTTAAGTGAACAGCAGGGAATTTAAACAGTCTGCCTGAATTACTTCAAATACATTAAATACAAAGATAACAATCAGGCTTGCTAATAATAATTCTAGTTGGCTTGAAGGTCTGGTTCTGAAGTGCTTGGGTTTTTCTTAGTGATGATACCTGGTCTCCTCTACTACTGCTCCAAAGACTATCCATTGCATTGGTTTGAAAGGCAAGCATAAAACAGATCTATAGACTTAACCGAGCAGGAGGTCACTGCAACTCGTTCTACCTGTAACATTTTCTGTTTTATGATAACCCGGAATTTTAGGGGACAAGGAATACAATTCGCCGGAGTTTTAGGGGACAAGGAATACAATAGTAGTTAAGTTCCAGCTCACGATCCTCATGAACCATCAAAAATGACCATGTACTAGTTTGCACTTTTACATTACTGTTTACCAAGTAAAGTCCTAAGTAGATGTCCCTCTTTAAGCTCAGAATTTCTTGGGATTCTGTGATCTGTTTTGTTTTAAAAACGTTCAGTATATAAAGCAGCATAGGCTTTAAATTGTTATGGATTATCTGAGTGAGTGGTTATCTAAGGATTCATATTCAGTAATTGGTACTTTAAAAGAAATTAACCTTACAGACTGAAATATTCAAACTGATACGTTTCTAAATATATATTTCAACAACTGCGTTCTATCGAAAAGGAACCTTGAGCTGCTGTGACTTCAGGTACCGTTTGTCTTCAGGATCCATTTTCAGGTCCTGAAATGGCAGGACATTCCGAACTGGTTCTTCATCAACAGCTTTAGCATCTGCAGCCTAAAAAACAAGAATGTATATGGCCACACACAAAGATGGCCCAGCCAGATAAAAGGATTTAAAAGTCCTGGGGGAAGAAGAATGAGAAATAATTTGTATCCTAGTAAAGCTAAAATGGTAAAGTTAGGCATTAAATAACAGACCACAAGAAAATGAATGGCTAAAGAAAGATCAAGTGAAAAGGAAGCAGAAAAAACAAGTGAGAGTAGTGTGGTAGTGGGGATATTCCTTCTATTTTTAAAGGGAATAGAAGAACAGAAAACTACAGGAAGTATGCAGCATAGAAATCCACTTGTAACAGAAACTCTCAAACGTCTGGGCTTCTCAATTTATATGCGAGTCAGTAGATGTACCTACTAACAGAAGAGCAATTACACAATCACCATTGTCCAGGCAATCAGCCAGCGTGCCAAGGCATTAATGGATGATATGCACCACAGCAAGGTCTTGAACAATAGAGTCATGTGGAAGAAAAAGATGGCAAAACACAGTAACGTTGCTAGAAAAGTACAGGGAGCAGCCACAGAAATAAAACATCCAGTGCATACAGCTTGACAACAACATCAAACAGCTTGTGCAAAATAGTGAGCCCGCATACAAGAACATCTTTGCATGGCCACAAGCATAGCAGCCCAATGGCTAGAAATCAAACCCGAGCAATTATTCAAGGGTGGCTGGTGGCACTACATATTTTGAAGCTAATAAATACCCTTGTAAATATGATAAAAGGCAAAATAATTTTCGAGCGCCCAGTTTTTCAATGTTTTTTCAATCTACAAGTTTTCATTAAATAATAACAAGAACATCTTTGCATGGCCACAAGCATAGCAGCCCAATGGCTAGAAATCAAACCCGAGCAATTATTCAAGGGTGGCTGGTGGCACTACATATTTTGAAGCTAATAAATACCCTTGTAAATATGATAAAAGGCAAAATAATTTTCGAGCGCCCAGTTTTTCAATGTTTTTTCAATCTACAAGTTTTCATTAAATAATAATGCTTCCCCCCCCCCCTCTTTTCTTGGGCCAAATTATCCTGCTAAGTACTACAATAGGTAGGACCTCAAATCAGTGCCCAGTCAGGCAGCGTCATGACAAAGAGACTACAGATAACTATGTGCTGGGCCAACGCTTACGGAAGGAACACACATGCGTCACTGCAGAGTGACACTGGCTAACACAAGAGAATTCACACTGAGAAGACATTTGTGACCATGAGAATTATTAATTGAAAATCATCATGGTGAAATCAGTGTGAAGGAAGTGTTTAATCCTTTTGGGGAGCTGAGCCTACCATCTTTCAGGGTGAGGGACTGGGATAACTAGGAAAAGGTAAGGGGAGTCCATTGCAGACGTTTCAGGTGAATCACACTGCCAAAGGCCAAATCACCAAATAGTGATGCAGATTCTGTTGGTCTCTAGAAAAGTTAACAATTTACAAGTTACCACATGGGTTTCCTGAACTGTGGATAGACACAGCTTTGCAGTCAGTAAGATGTTTTTGGTGGAACCAACTGACTCAACGTATCGATAGTTTACTGGTCAGGTAAAGCATACTTCTACATTATCTCTTTGAAAGAGGAACAGGACACAACCTCTGCCAGCATTTTTTGTGAACTATTCTATTAATACCAATCAAATTGAGAAAATGATCAAATGAAATTGCATTTTGAGCATCATAAGCTGTGTAATGCCTATTCTGTTAAATTGAGGCCCGTAATTGCTTCTCTACTGAAAAGATACAACAAAGACAGCAATCATGGCATGTCATTATCCCAGACTAGAAAACCGGCCTTTGCAGTGAGGACTTCAAAGGCTTGTGGTTCTCGAATTGCATTTGGCTGCTATTGTTGAAGCGCAGGCAATCTTGATTAGGTGTTTACACTGAGGTAAGGCGCAGTGCACAGAGAGTCTGAGTGCCTTGGTCTAGAGCCATTAAAAAATTGTACATTATGTTCCTGGCTTTGAAGTAAGGGGCTTGTAGGTAGGAAAGCAACTCATATTGAGTACAGCTGAGCTAGATTGGGCTGCTACTTCTCTCTTTCTTTCTCTCTCTCTCTCTCTCTCTCTCTCAAAGAAACTCATCATCAGATTCTTAAAGAATCAGGCAACACTGCAAAGAACTTGATGTTTATAAAATGCTACTATAAATTAGTAAACATACAGATCAACGCACATTTATGGTATGCTTTGGTATATGTAGCCTGCTGTCTTTATGCACAGCTGTAACAACTGTAAATCGTACAAGAATAAGCCTACCAATATTTTACCCAATGCCATGTTAGTTAAATAAAGCTGTATGTAAACCACTTACCTTAATGTAAACACTAGTTCATAACCACAACACCTGTCAGCCAACTGTGATCCTAGCAATAAAGACAGCTTCAACATCCTGCAAAGCTCAAAATAATCCAGCTTAGGAAAAAACAGCATTCAGAATGTGTTCCAGTGCTCCAGCAGATGTCTGACTTGCTTGTTTTTCTGCATACTTGCATTTTTGATAAGAGTTTTTCAGGTGGGGTAACTGGCCTAACACAGAAGACTCAACTGCTGAATTGAGAATCATGAGCCTTGAAACTAGGTTTAGATTTCTTTCTGCGTACTGTCAATAATTGCCTAAAGATAGATTTTTAACTGTCTTCCTCTCCTGAAGCCCTGATGGGCCACCATGTTTCATGGGAGCACCATGACACCCTCACCAGGGCTTGCTGTCGCCTGGCCTGTGAACCTGTTGGATCCTAAGGCTTTGGACACCACTTCTCCTTCACTTAAAGTGAAACGGAGAATAACTAAGATTGTGGACTCACTGCTGTAAGGCATGACGCTATACATGACGCTATAGGACCTTTTATAAAACTCTCTCTTCAGTTACATCTGCAGCAGAGATGGTATTTTTCCTCCTGTTTCCCAAGAGGTTTCCCTTTCCAGTCTCACTGATACTGTTAAGGCTTTCACCCAGGCAAGCAAACCTGCTGCAAATGAGTTTAGACTGGAAGCTGGTTTTCCAGTCGTTAGAGGAGTGACATACTGAAAGTGCTTTTTAACAGGGGCAAATACGCTAACTAGTTTAAGGAGGAGTTTGTGTTTGGTTTTGGGAAGAATTCACTGATGTGCTTCCTGGTGACAGCCGCAGAGGGTTTTGGTGACCGAGGAAGTCCCTCTTCACACTTGATGTCTCAGTTCCAGCACATGCTTGTGCATGAGACTTCACAGAAGCGGACAGTGGTGTATAGTGTTTGCTAGTAGAAGATCACAGCCTGGAAGCCAGCTTTAGTCAACAAGATGCTTCCGTCAGGCCTTCTTTCACCCCTCCAACAAGATGGAACAATGGCTGTCTTGACTAAGAGCCAGAGACAACTGCTTCTTCCTCTGCGCATCCCCAGCAAGCACAAAGCTAGCTGACAGCAGCTAGTGATGTCGCTGTCATCTCAACTTGCTGAGGAAAGAAACACACCACCTCCGTACACACGTGTTGCAGAGCTCCTGCTATGTCACAGCTCTGCTGGGATAGAAAGGGATCTGAAAACTAGGATTTAGTCCCCACGGCTACTTCAGTTAGTGACTCTTATAACATTGTCCTGGTTTTAACAGAGTTGTTTCTATTGGATATCTTTGCCTAGTGTCTACACAATGAAGTCCTGATCTCTGGCTCCAATGCTTACATACGAAATATTTTCAGAATTCCCCAAATAGTAAACATAATCATATCAACATAGCTTTAATTAGCATCAATCTACACTAATTATTTTTACCAGCAACTAAATTATAACTGAAAAAACAAGTGCTCTTAATAGCTCTGCTAGAAAAGAGCTTGTCCACTGTTGCACTCATTGTAATGTAGTCAGCAGATGCCCTCTAGTGTTATGTCAACTGTTCATTAGCCTTGAAGACTGTGTCGCTTGAAACAGAAAGTCTCAGCAGTTTTGTAAATTAAACATTTTCTGTACTACAACTCAGTGGAATAAACCAATGACTTCTGCCTTCCCCCATTATGCATAATGTATAGCAAGTAAAAGCAACAAACTCAAGTACAAGTCGTTTATGAGGAACTTTAACGACCTTTCCGCTTACTCCTCAATATAAATCAAACGTAAGAATACTAGGCCCTCCAAAGCCAAGTACTGTGCTTTACTAGCATCTACTGGCTGATTTCCAGTGCAAGTTTTGGTCTGGCTGATGTGCGTAACCGATGACTTGCTGATTCTTTCTACAAAGGGCGGACAAGATACTCGGGGGAAATCATGAGTTACCTATTGCATGATAGATGGTAAATTTACTTACCTGTCACACAAACCTGTAAGGTCATGCAGATATTCTGTTTTAACCACAGACAGTACATCAGTTTATACCAATGAGAAGATGTGTAGAAGTTTCCTACCTGCTCTTGAAGAACTTTCCCTTGCTTTTTGCTGTGCAATTGAAGATAGGAAGTTCTCATGCGTGTACCTAACCCTAAAGTCCGTTTATTTTTTTCCACAAAGTCCTTTTTTGCTCTTTCCGGTTGATCTTGAATCCGAAGAGAAAAAGCACTGCTGTATGTACTGGGACTATCTTTGAAACGATAGTCCTCTGCAGATTCCTTCCCTTTAGTAAAGAACCTAAAAGGTTCGTTGCTGACTCTGGCATTCGGTTCATGCTTGTTTACTACTTCTGTATCAAACTCAGAGGATGTATCCTGTGATTCTGCCACCTGTTGATTATTTTCTTCTGGGAAGCCATTGGAAAGGAGGTAAAATGAATCTTGTGAAAATTCCACACTTCCAGGAACTTTTTTTGCTTCAGAAAATTCTGCTACCTCTTTTATGTTCTTCCAATTAGGATTGTATCTTAGGTTGAAATATTTGTCCACAAACTGCTGTTTCCTATTTAAAAAACAAGCTCAAAATTAGTTATGCATAAACTGTATAAATTACATGTTTTTCAGTAACCATCCTGCAACCTTGGTCAGCTGAACTAGTTCAGTATATAAAGTCATTTTTGTATGACCGTTTGCAGGATCAGGATCAAAACAGCTTTATCAAACGTTTGTTGAGTAAAAGACTTAGGCTGACCCTCCTCTTCATTTTTAATTTTCCTTATCAGTGAACGATAAATTGGTCTAACATTCAGATCACAGTGGAATGCAGTCTTTGTCCTGAACTCAGGATATTATAAGCACTAGTAGAATCAATTAAAAGCTGAAATGACTGCATCTTATCGCTCGTGTTGTTTCCTTTAAAATGATGTAACCTACGTGACAGTATGTGTTGCTCACTGTTCAGAGACTCTGCGCTCTGTGAAATAAAAGTGATATTCTTGGTAAGATCCTTCTCCCAAATCTCAACAGACTTGACTGCCTAGGTGAGAGCAGCCTAAAGCTTTGTATTTTTATTCTCTCTTCTCATTCCTGTGAAACATTAGGATGTAGAGCCTGGTATTTCAATAAAACTTTCTAAGACAGATTTCAAATAACTTCCCATTAAAAAACAGGCTGTAACTGAGATAATCATTCAGTAAATATGCCTTGCATTTATGGTACAAAACCACCATCAGAAAGGTTTGTGGGTTTGGGTTGTTTGTTTGTCTGTTTGTTTTTAAACAAGCGTCCAATTTGTTGCTGCTCTATTTGAACAAAGATGGGCTGCCTTTAAAAGAACACGGTTGAGTCTATTCATGACTTACGCTCTGATCCAACAGGAGGAACACCAACTGCTTGAGCCAAATACATACAGCTTGGCTCCCAGGAAATGGGAGGGCAGAGGCAGGGGTAAGGCACATGGGAAAAAGCTTTTAACACTCTTTTTGCTTACCCGGACCGGCAGTATAGCCCTGGTTTCTTAGACACTGAGAAATGATGAGCCTTTCAAAGCGACATTTACAGATACTCAATTCCAGCTGGCTTTTCAGCTCAAATTATAAGAAATGTAGTGATCTGCTGGATTCTCCAAAACTGTGGCATAGCTAATTATATGAACACTTCCACAAACCATTTATCAGTTCTTTCTAGATTAGTTACATATGTGCCTATATTATAAGTGGCACCTAAATAATAAATCAATACTTTCAATTTTAGGTAAGCATCCTGGTATCCTGTGTATTAGAGACCAGAGGATTTAGACCAGTGGAAACATTATTATTCATAGCTGTGATACACCACCGCAGGTAAACAGAAATAAGTGACCATGTTTTTGAAATGAGTACAGAAATATGCGCTATAATTGTAATGATTCAAATAACAGAGTATAATTCTAAAGAGTTCTATTGTGCTGAAATGTGTGTACAGGAGCCCAATTGTATTACGCAGGCCAGGTCACCACGCTGGAACAAAACGAGCGTGAAGAGCTCCTTCATCTCTAATCATCTGCAGACAAAAAGTGCACCTTTTATTCCTCCCCACAACTTGATATAAAGGTTAGATGGACTCTGTGCTCATCAACAAAAATGTTGTATGTAGACAACAGATGCAGCGTTTCCTCTTCAAATTCCGAGGTTAGTAATGGATGTAGAGAGGGGGTTTCATATGCATATGCCGTGATATTTGCTCCGGTTAATGGACTATATTTGAGTACTTACTAGGCTAAGCTCAAACAAAATAAAATCAAATTTCCATTTAATGAAGAGCCTCACATTCAGCATAGTAATCAGTCAAAAAAATTACTAAAAATTAGAGCATGTTTCTAGTACAATTAACGTCATTTGCACTCACAATAAAATGTTCAATAACTGGCCATTTTGCCTGTTGAGGAGGTGAATAAAAGCATGCTATTAATCATTTAGCCTTCATTTGTTTGCCATTTTATTTTAAGTAGACAATTAAATTGAAACTGCACATTATTATTATTTCAGGTTTAATTTAATCCTTTTAAACCTGAGAATTATTCCCAATTTATACAGTGTTAAACCTTTTATGCATATGACAGCAAATTTAATTTTATGTTCAAAGTTAATGCTTTTTAAAGAATGTTTAAGGGTGACAGTAACCCTGAAATTTTTAGTTTTAGATGTATGTAGCTATAGAACAAAACTGAATTTATTCAGCCCACCAATTTTGCCTGTAAGTTTCCTATGCAAAGTGGCCTAGTTTGCTCAGCACAGGTCTTTTTGCAAGGAATGACGAGAGTACGCGTCAGTACCGGTCTTTGCTTTCTCTCATTTTCACAGCCCAGGTTCAGGAAACTTCCACCCCACGACCCGAGACAGTACCCAGGGCACACTGCTAAATCAGCGCCTGATCCCCAGCCCGTTACAGTTGTTGAACTCCTTCCACTGACTGCAGTGGGTTCTCAATCAAGCAGACAGGAATAAGAGGGGATCTACATTTAATAGGCCTTTGCCAGCAGGAGACCAGTCAAATGTTCCAACTTTTAGCTTGCTTGTGCTGCCTAGTAGTAGGGGCTAGCACAGATCAGCTCCCCACTTCCTACCTTCTTGCCTGCCTGTTTGAGAGGCAAATAAAGAGGCATCTAGCAGTCACCTCTGTATGTGACGTCTACAGCCAGGATGCGGGTAGCCTATATAGGTACGTGTAGGATGTTCTCTCTTCCACCTTACCTTCCTGCAGAGGTGTTTTAGCCTGGATAGCAAACAATCGGGGGGCAATGCTGGAGAGCACTGGCTATAAGAATCATGAAGGTAAGTATGAAGAAACAGTACAATTTCGTGTATAACTTAGTCCCTAGGGGCTCTTAGTAGTACTTTGGCCATGTAAATCGGTCTTGGAGATGTAATGTGTGCTCTGAGAAATGTAAGGCTTTAGCGTTAAAGTGTCAGAACTGTTACAGTCGTCTACTATGAGACGGTACGTTCTATGCCTTACCTTCCATTACTAGCATTCTTTTGCATTCCAGTTGTATATCGATCCGTGTCACACTTAGCTCCTTCTTGCTCTTTTAAACTCATCTCCTCCAAGCTATCTTCTTCTAAGCTGTCATTCTCCAACTCATCTGAAGACAGTCCTACCAGTTCTTCGTTTTCACGAATCCGCTGTTGGAGTTCTAACTGATATCGTCTCTCTTGAGCAAGGCTTTCACAATCAGACTCTTCAGAGTCATGCAGACCTGCGGCTAAGTCTCCTTCGCTTACAGATGGTCTTTTCAAGTGTGCAGGATGAAAACGTGGCTGCATGAACACCCTTTGAGGAAAATGACTTTTACTCATGTTGCAAGTGTGTGGAGAAGAAACTGAAATATACTTCCTATGTGAAGAATTCATTCAGTGTTCTGCACTGATGGTATACAACAGTCCTGTATTTGGAAAACAGGGGAGTATAATGATTACAGTTGTTAAAAGCTGGAATGGTTGGTAATATCATTGGCTTACGCTCAGAATTTGATTTTCTATAGTTAAGACAATTCTTTACTCTCATCCTTCACTATGACTATGGATTTTCCTGTGGGTAATTAATATCAAGGTCCCTGTTTTGCAAATGTATAACTTACTACTATGAAATCTGCCTTAAAACGAAACATTAGTGGTAGCAAGACTAGTCATGTACAAAATGGTTTATTAAAAAAAAAATAAAGCTAAGACAAAGTAACAGAATTTTATCTGACAGCTTCTCAGAGGTAATCAAGATTTTTTTGTATTCTCTTTATCCAGCTTTGTTATCTCCTTGAGACATAAGCTAGCAGAGAGGAAGTGTGGGTGACAGAGAGGAAAACAAGGAAAAATCCTGAAATGCTTTTTAAATTAGAAGGAAAATCAGTTTGATTTTCATAAGCCACTTGCACCGTTGGATACACATGGGATTAAATGATTGAGAGGAAAGAAAAAGGGAGTGTTTTGCAAATAAATGTAAATGAGTAGTAAGTTACGGTGCATACAGTTTGTGCAATCCAGTGTGAACAACTGGCATAAACCCGCGTACTTATGTTCCTCGAATTTCACTTTAGTAAGGGGGCAACTTGATACACGAAAAATATATACACAAGAAAAACATATTTTCTAATTTGTCACAGTTAGCACTGCTTGTCACATACAAATTTACCCTCTGTGAGGCCTTTTACGCGGCGCTGGAAGGCTGTAACTGTTCCTCCCGTGTCCTCGCCTCACGCCAATCACTGACGGAAGAGGGTGCTCACCCTGCAGCCCGGAGAGGAAAGCCTAGGAGCAGTAAGGAAGTTTTCCACCGAAAGTGCCTTTCGGTTAGCTGGGAAATGGCAAGCACCCGCCAAGGGAGGTGAGGCCTTACTCCTAACCCTTGTTCGGGGAGCTGCCTCTGCTGCATGAAGGCAGGCCTTCAGCCCCACTGAGAAAAGCCGGCCTGGCCAGGAGTCACCCCCAAGCTCCCCTTCACCCCACAAGGGCCTCGCCTCACCCCCAGGGGCCTCGCCGCACCCCCAAAGGCCTTCGCTTCTGCCCCAAGCCCTCTCATCCCCAAGGGCCTCGCTTCTCCCTCAAGGCCCCCTCACCCCCAGGGGCCTCGCCGCACCCCCAAAGGCCTTCGCTTCTGCCCCAAGCCCTCTCATCCCCAAGGGCCTCGCTTCTCCCTCAAGGCCCCCTCGCCCCCAGGGGCCTCGCCGCACCCCCAAAGGCCTTCGCTTCTGCCCCAAGCCCTCTCATCCCCAAGGGCCTCGCTTCTCCCTCAAGGCCCCCTCGCCCCCAGGGGCCTCGCCGCACCCCCAAAGGCCTTCGCTTCTGCCCCAAGCCCTCTCATCCCCAAGGGCCTCGCTTCTCCCTCAAGGCCCCCTCGCCCCCAGGGGCCTCGCCGCACCCCCAAAGGCCTTCGCTTCTGCCCCAAGCCCTCTCATCCCCAAGGGCCTCGCTTCTCCCTCAAGGCCCCCTCGCCCCCAGGGGCCTCGCCGCACCCCCAAAGGCCTTCGCTTCTGCCCCAAGCCCTCTCATCCCCAAGGGCCTCGCTTCTCCCTCAAGGCCCCCTCGCCCCCAGGGGCCTCGCCGCACCCCCAAAGGCCTTCGCTTCTGCCCCAAGCCCTCTCATCCCCAAGGGCCTCGCTTCTCCCTCAAGGCCCCCTCGCCCCCAGGGGCCTCGCCGCACCCCCAAAGGCCTTCGCTTCTGCCCCAAGCCCTCTCATCCCCAAGGGCCTCGCTTCTCCCTCAAGGCCCCCTCGCCCCCAGGGGCCTCGCCGCACCCCCAAAGGCCTTCGCTTCTGCCCCAAGCCCTCTCATCCCCAAGGGCCTCGCTTC